ACCCAGGTGTCGTCTACATATCTGTACCAGTGGCTGGGTACTCTCCCTTTAAAAGAGCCAAGAGCCTTACATTCGACTTCCTCCATGTAAAGGTTGGCTACAATAGGCAATAGTGTGGTTTGTGATTCAGCTAAGCTGTAAACAAATTCCCCTTTTGGGATTAATAAAGTTATCCGAATCTGAATGAACTTGTAAATGCAGATCCACAATCAACTGTGAGAACATTGTGCATTTAGTTCATTAAGAGAGATAAATGGATATCCTGTTTCACCTGCATCTGTCCGTTCGCTCATGCAGGAGTAGACGGAGCACTGGAAGTCTCCTAGCGCGGCCCCTACTGGAGTGCCAGCAGGGATGCCGTGCCACTGAGAGCAGGTCTTTCCTGCCAAGCTACCAGATGGCACACACTTAGGAAGCAGGTGCAAAGGGAAGCCAGCACCCTTCAGACTAGAGGACACACACACACATACAGTGCTTGTTACGTATGCTTGCACTGATGCAAAAAGTGTTAGGCTGCAAACCAAACATGCACAACAGTTTTCATGCAGTATGTGCATCAAGAGTAAAAAAAGGAAGGATGTTCAACACTATACAAACATGTTTTCGTTCCACTGATTGGATGACGTGTTGAAGAAGCCCCAGCTGGCTGCATTCTGAGGTGTCATGACACAACCGTCCAAACCACACAGCATGGACACCACATAGTCCTGGATGGTACCTGCAACCGTAAAGTCCTCAAGGAATTTGGGTCTGCGGCAAAACCACACAGCTTCAGCTTTTGTATCACAATTGCAAAATGTATTCATTTATAATGTATTTATTTTTAAAGATGTGGGCTTACTTGTGTTTCATGTACCAGAAGATTGTTGCACAGCCAAACCCCGTGGCGATGCTGAGATGAGAGTCTGGTCTGGGAAGAGAGGTGAGGAAGTCATTGCTGCAACGTCCATCTTGCCAGGTGATCAGCTGACTGGTGTCTTTGGCTGTTAAGGAATCACTATTGGACCAGACGCAACCTGGGAGGTGCAAAAGACAGTCAACTGAGTGCTTACAATTTTAATACAACCCTTGTTTGAGTTGTTATGTAGACTGCTGTGTTCTTTAAAGACTCTGTCCTTTGCCCTGTCCTATTATCAGTCAATGTTGTTCTAAAGCCTCTGGATCCACTTAAACATTAGTCAAACTAAACTGCATGCTTATTTTAGATACCACTCTATACAGATACTCTACACAAATCTGTCGCTATTCTTTGTGACCATATGGATCGGTCCCTCATATTACCATTATTTCACCCAAAGGCACCAAGTTACATACTTAAAAAAGCTGCAACAATACACACAAATATAAAAAGTACTTGGTGACAACTTTGCTTTTAGCCTTTAACCCTCTGGGGTTCAGGGTATAACTGGTCGTTTTTTGACTACTTTTGATTTGTCCTCTATATTTCGCCTTTAAAAACTGTTTATCTTGCCAATCTGTTATTTTCACATTTCACAAGGCTCAGACGTTTTTTATATAACCATTTAAAACTATTTAGAGAACAACGAGGTGTTCTGCATCAAATAAGAAGACACACAAATTATATATGCAACTCCAAAAATAGTTTGTGTCCACTATAAGACAGAGGAGAACAGCACAGGGATAAACCCTGCAGGTATGACAGCAGCAACTGTGACATTCACTAGTAGAAGTGACACACAAAACAAAACAACGACTACACTACACATTAACTACACAAGACAACACACTAACTTGAGTCCAAACACAGTAAACGTCACAAATCTATCATGTATCAAAACTCACTCGCTCACTCGCTTTCTCTCGCCGGTGTCACTCCTAAAACTTCGCCCTCTTCCTAAACAACCAAATGCCATATGTTGCCATATAATTTTTGATTGGTCAACATGGCACATTTTTCCACTTTTTCTTTTTTTTCACTCCCAAGCAGAGAGTGTTTGCTACTGCTGTCTGTAGAAAACACAGTTTTTACGGTTTCTTCTCGCTGTAAACACCACTGTTTTATTTAGAGTTGAAACTAACACTCAGTCCGTCAATCCTAGAGGGTTAATCAGAAAGCCTTAAATTATGTAACTGGCTAAATGTTTAAAGTAGGGGTGGGCGATATAAACGATATATGATAGAAACGATATAAATTTGGCCAACAATAGAGATTTTGACTATACCGCTCTATCGCGATAGCGCATGTCGATGATGTCATCAAGCTGCGCCTGTTTTGGTTGAAAGCATCGCAGCTGCTACAACCATTATCATCTGCAAATTATGCCGGGCGACAGTCATAGCAAAGAGATGAAGCACTTTTGAAATATGGGGAAAGCCAAAAACTGCGCTTCCTCCACTTCCGTAACATTGATTCATTAATGTTGAATTCTCTCGCAGCTGTT